ATGGAAATGATCAGGGTTGTGATCCCTGCCTTGAATGGCTGTCAGTCCTTCTGCCATGATCCCAAGAATTGGCAGTCCAGCCAAATGCTTTCTCTCTGGCAAGAGTATCAACTCCAATTCCCTACTTACTCTTCATCTTTGGTGATGCAAACCAAAGAGAGGCAAGCCATATGTTGTTGTTAAGCGGAGCCCCGCTTGTTAAGTTGAGATCCACATGGTCTGTGGAAATCTTGTCTCCAAACAGAAGACATCTCTAAGCCCCAAAGAAAGAAGTCAAAGAGCATTTTCTCACCTGTCAAGTGAGGCCATTAGTAGGACCCAACCGTACTGACGTGGTTTATTTCCTGTTTTTAAAAACTTTGTTGCCTTTTCCCTTCAGAAAATTCGTTCTCTTTAGGAGTGCCTTGAGGTGTACATGCTGAGGAGAGAGAAATCTATCAGCTTACCTCAGGGCAAAGTTTCTTAATCTGAAGGTAAACTTCAGTCATACCACATTGCATTGAAATTATGTATGAAATATTGTGGCTCTATAATTTCAGAGTCAGTGGCTCTGAAAAGATTTTTTAAAAAATCTTCTGGATTAGAAATCAGCTACTGTGTATGATTTTTAAAATTCTGAATGCCAAATGGGGTATACAGAGAAGCAATATTTGAAATATCTGAGTTTCTTATTTTAGTTATTTCCATTAAAGTGTTATATATCATACAATTTTTTTAAAAGAGATATGTATATTGCAAAACTATGTGAGCCTGTACTAATAATTTTTCATTTCTACATATGCATCCACTTTTTGTCTTTATTTATTATGTTTTCTAATTCTGCTATTGTTCTCAGTCGAATCCTTTGTCAGCTGTTAGTTGTATGGTAATTGAGTGACTCCAAAAGTCGTGGTACTGTTCAGGTCTAGCCAGCCTAGAGACACAGGTTTCAAACAACCTCCTACTCAGTTGCTGAGAATCTTACCTAATCTTTCTGGGGACACATGCCTGACAGCACGTGATAAAAGATCTGTAGTGTGCATTCCTTTATCTGAAAAGATAGAAACAAAACATCTTTTTCTAGTCCTTCTAAAAACTTCATTTGAGGACTCCACACTTTGAACCTGAATTTAAAACTTCAAGTACTGAACAACGTTACATACAACTTTCCTCAGAAGAAATAAATAGCATTTGAATAATGCCTCAGTATCTAGTTTATGATCCATATATACTAAACATATAATATATAAGCTGTATCTATTTTATATACATTTACAAATTATATATAAACTTGTTTATACTTATACATTATTTATACATTTATGAATATATAAAATAAATAGAAATTGTTAAATTTTGGTTTAGCACAATGATGTTGCTGCAATACAATGAAAAAGAAGAATCTTGCAGATTTTTCTTGGGCATGTGAGAAATCAGTCATCCACAGGATTTAAAGGTCACAGTGTGTCTTCCGTGTGCCCCTTGGAGGTTCTACGGAGATGCCAGAAGGGTCTGTACCTGAGGATAAGGTCTTGGGCTCAGCCTTTACTAGACGTGGCATCAATTTGAAGACCCTGGAAGCAACCAAAAAAAGTGAATATTGTGACTCATCACTGAAGAGAAGAACCAGGAAAAACAACAACGACAACAAAAAGGCAGGGGGGATATTAGGGTAAGAATTCTTGGAACTAAAAAACTGAAAAATCACCAAGAAACAGAATATGAGCTAAATTAAGCTGTGGATCTCAGGCATTGAGCTGTAATTGACACCAATGTGCCTGAGGCTTATCCTGTGCTGAGTGCTGAGTGCTATTGGACTCACAGGAATGCATGAACTGGCTCCAGCAGGTTATTAGAAGTGCATGCTACTTCATAAATTCAGTTAGTCCAAAATTCTCTACATACATTTTGTTTAACATGAAGAATTTCTGTTTATATATTTAGGAAGTTACATATTCCAGTTGGTCTTAATTTAAAAAAAAATACAATAATCTGTATAAAAGCAAGCATTCAAGAATGAAGAAGTTTGTGTTTGATGACTGTTTTTAATATGCAAGATAGTTCCTGTAACATTCAATATAAATTTACTTATTAGAAACAATTATTTAACAAAAAACTTGGCAGACATAAATTAATGAATGTTCTGTTCTTCATTAGCCCAAGGTCTAATTATTGAGCTAAGCCTGTGTTAAACATTTGTAGTAATGCTACAATTTTTTGACTTATTTCAGATTCATAAGGAAATATATAGAGAGAATGCTTGAGAAATAAACTGGGTTATATATCATATCTTAAATATGCCAAGCCTGAGTGATTTTAATTTGTTCACCTACTAAGCTTTTTGGAAGCTCAAATATATTTTAAACAACCTGGTGATTGAGAAAATACATTTAATAGTGTGATTAAATATGAACCTTTCATCTATTACATTTTAGGCCAGTTCTGGCTTCATGACACATATGTAAAAAAATAAGATGATTAAATATACATATCATGTATGCTGAACAGTTTTCTGCGGTATCTCATTGAAATTCTGTCACAATGTATCATTATTTAAACACCATGTGGTAGTGATAGTCTGAGATGTCTTCAAAGAAAAATTAAAAATGGGCTTAAAAGCATGTATCCATCCATGGGGAACTTTACATCCCTTTGATTCAAGAAAGAAATACACAAATTAACAGAAAGGATTAAAAATTTCAGAATTTAAATTTTTTGTTACATCATGTGAAAAAAAACGTTAAAAGTCGTTTATGCAGTCCCAAATCATTTGTATATATTTTATATGGTCTGTCAATATGTTGGTAATATATCTTTATAAAAGAAGGAAATAAAGAGATAAATATCAATAGTGTCAAGCATTGCTCCTCTGCAATGAAATATATATCTTTAACTTATGAAAGTTATATATCTTTAAGTTATGACAGGTATATATCTCTAAACTTAATTCTAAAATAGCAGTTACCTACATTCTAATACACATTATGAAAGCTATTTCAAAATTTCTCAGAGCAATCTAGATTCCAGTGACTTCCAATTCCTTTCATTGAACTTCTGAATAGAAAACAAGATTTCATCAGTTAAATTTATTAGTACTAATCATTAAAATAACATGTATATTAGAAAAGAATAATTTATTCCTCAGTTATAGCAAGTTAGATTTTCTTACTTGGAATCTGTTTTTCAAATATTTACATAAATATTTTAATTCATAATTTTTAATGCAGAATTTTATGAAAAATACAAGTCATCAAAATTTAAAATGAATTATTGATTTCTGGTAATATGACTTGTACTCTAGAATGAAATATACAATGTACAATAGCTTAATAAAAGAACATTTTTACTTACATATTAATTTAAGCATTGGAAAATGTAATTTACTTTTGCACAAAATCGAATTATTGATAGATCACAATTTTTTAGGCAAAAGAAAGTCACTTTTATAATGATATCCAATCTCATCAAAGCAGACCTAAAATAGCAGAAAAGCATTCTTCTATAGCTAACATACATTCCCGAATACATATGATGTTTAGTTTTGGTAGTGATGCTGAGGGGTTAACAAACCTGTCTATATGTGAACTCCATTTTCTCCCTTTACCTACTCTTGAACAATAGTAAAACCTTATTTTTTCTATCAAAGAATACTTCCACTTTTGCTCAGATTCCATCCTTATTTCATTTTCAAAGTCTTTTAAAATTCTCTCTGTGTTATCTTTAAACCATTTCTGGATTATTTTTATCAGTTTTAAACTATAATCTACTACCATTCCATGTCACTCCCTGACCCTGTACCTGAGGATAAAATCTTGGGCTCAGAGTTAAAAATCAGCACCTAAGAATAAAACAAAAACAAACAAATTCTTTCCTTGATCCAACTTCATCACCACCACCACCCCAATTCAATTCATCATTGTCTGGCTTCTTTCTCGACTACAGTCAACGTAAAAGACTTGTCAAATTCAGTGGACATTTGCCTATTTCAGCTCACCCAGTCGTTCAGAAATTATGACAAAGTAGTTAACTAATATCTTTAAAAATAAAAAAAAAAAATGTGTAAGGGTGGGGTCTGAAGAGGAGGGGCAATATCACTTATACTACTGTTCTTTCTTTTCTTTTTATTCTCTGGATTTCTCTTGGCCTCATTTGCTAAACTCTCCTTCTGTAAAAATGTTCCAGATATGTGGACCGACCCCTCAGGATACCAATTTGAGTTCTCTTCTTTGGTCTCTGAACATTCTTATTAATGATGATATCAAACCTTCCCACGGGTTTAAAGACTGCCTCTCTGCCTATATTTACCTAATTTATTTATCCATCTCAGAATCCTCCCCTTGAGTTTTTCTTTGCATGCCCCTATGATGTCTCTAAAGTAATCAGTCATACTTCTGCTGATCTTATACACAAAATATGTCTTCCATCCGCCCTCTGTTATTCACTGACATTCATAATTTTAGTTCACTTCCTTGTCATCATTTGCCTAGGTTTTACCAGTAGCCTCCACATTTTCCCCATCTCTATTTATCTTTCATCCCCTTCCATGTTTCACCCATCTACAAAAGAGGCCTTAAAATATAAATTTTATCATATTTATCTGCAGATAAAGTCTTTCAGTAACTTCCCACAATAGTTAAAATCAAATGCATCTACTCTGGTCTGAAAATAACTGCATATTCTGGCTTCTGTCTCCCCTTCCAATTTTATGTGTGATTGCACTCATTTCTCATGCACTGTACTTTAGGCACCCAAATGGTCTGAGTTTGTGAAACAAGCCAAGTTACTTTCAACCTTAAGACCTTTGAAAATGGTGTGCACCATGTCTGAGATGTTCTTCATCTTCAAATAGCTAGTATCTTTTAATTTATTTTTGTTAAATTTTATCTCTTTAAAAAGCTTGTTGAGTCCACTCTCTTTAAAATACCAGTCTTTTCTGTCAGCAAATATTCTCTTTCAAGGTTCTCATTTTTAAGTTTTACTTAGTTATCTGATATCTGTTTTGCATTTTCATCCTTCACTAGGCTGTGAGCTTCATTTTGCTTGAGACGTGGTCTATCCTATTGACGATAAAAACCCAAGTTAACATGATAGAGCAAGCACACAATAACTATTGGTTGAAGAAACTAACAAATTATATTTGACACCCACATCACCAATTAATTGGCAAGTACCACTATCTTATTTTAATGTTTTAATAACTTAAATAGTGAGAATACCTTGGCCACTCCAGAGTTGTCTGGGATAGATAGATATGCCCTTGGTAGTTTGGCTGGAAACAGGGAAGCCTGTCTTCCTCTCATGTATAGCTTTATGTATGAAGTACTCTAGCACTGAATTAACTTTGGCATATGAACAAAGAACTCTTGAAGTGCAATAACTGTGCTCATCGTCTATTTTTTCCCTGCTAGTCAAGATCAAATTCTACGGTACATTAGCTATTAAAAGCACTGAGAATGTGAGAAGAACATGAATTAAACTTTGCAGCTCTGTGAAGAAAAGCTTCATGTGGCATTACTTGGTCTTTTTGAAAAGACAAGTGAAGAGGAAGGGGAGAAGAAGAGGAAAAAGTGGGAGGAGGGAGGAAAAGGAAGTGGAATAAATGGAAAAGAAGTTCACTGAAACTAGGTAATTCATACTTTACTATTTTTAAACCATATATGGGCTTCCCAATTCTAAGTAACATATAGTCTTATGAAGTAAGGTAGATGAAATGTAAAAATTTAAATCAGCTGAAGAACATATGTGGATCCTTTCAAGATGCTCGTGCTTTCCAAAGAAGGAATTTAAGATCCATCATTTAGGACCTAGAATAGACAGATGAAGGTATAGATAACTGTGATGCTCTATAAATTAAGCTACGTTTTCTTAATAATGCCCTTTCTTTTTGGTATATTGGAATATTTAGTTTATTATAGAAACTTTAAAGTCTGCAGTCACTAAAGATTTATGGATAAAAATCAATAAATGAATAAATATGTCATTTAATGGAAAGGGTCTTATTATAAAATATAAAATATTTATATATACATATATGAATTTATGAATCTAATTTTGTTTTTTTTTTTTGAGACTGAGTTTCGCTCTTGTTACCCAGGCTGGAGTGCAATGGCGCGATCTCGGCTCACTGCAACCTCTGCCTCCCAGGTTCAGGCAATTCTCCTGCCTCAGCATCCTGGGTAGCTGGGATTACAGGTATGTACCACTGTGCCCAGCTAATTTTTTGGTATTTTTAGTAGAGACGGGGTTTCACCATGTTGCCCAGAATTGTCTCGATCTCTTGACCTCGTGATCCACCCACCTCAGCCTCCCAAAGTGCTGGGATTACAGGCGTGAGCCACCGCACCCGGCCCCAATCTAATTTTTAATGCAAGTAATATTGTAGAAAAAGCAAGAGACTTTACATTCATGCTGTAAGATTAAATTTAATCACCTATAACATGGAGGTATGATTTTCCTCATAAAATTGATGTGAAGGTAAATGAGATATGCAAAACTCAGTCTATAGTATTTGGTGCATAGTAGGTTGAATAAATATTATTTTTATTACACTTGAATGTATCATAAAACTTTACTTATTAGTACTAATTGTGGGGAAGACAAATGCAATAACAGAAATTTACAATTTCACTAAGTATGTCAGCTTCCTATTGTTGGAAGGGAAACATTAAATATAAGATTCAAATAATTCATATTTACCTACTTGGCCATAATTATTTTTCAACCAGGCAAGGGAAAGCAGTAGTAAAGAAGACTAAAAATGTCTTCCCAAATCTAGGAAGAACTATATATCCCATGAAAATTGTTTATTAATAAAAAGACAATTCAGATTACTGAATAAAAGAGAAAAGGAAGGTGAAGGTCAGATTTCAGTCTTGGAAGGATGGGGCAGAGAGAGAGAAAGCAACTGAAAATAAAAAGACTTTAATGAAATGTGTATGTTTTTATTTTTAACATTGAAACAACATAAGAAACAACATTGTTGGTACAGTAGCTAATGAAAGAAGGTTTACAAGGTCCTGCTTGAATAAGTGTTTATGTGCAACAATTTTTATTAGTAAAACCTCTTGAAGCTTTCAGTGACTTAGATCTGATAGAAACTAGATTAAATTTTTTAAAAATTTATAAATTCATAACCTAAAAACTTGATAGTTCACTGGTAAATGGGGAGGCTTAACCCACTGACATCATAAAAGGAACTTTATCTTTTCATTTTCCTGTCTCTCCTCTAAGTCTTCCACAGAGTCCATCAATCTCAAGGATTGTTTCCTCCAAGGTTGTTAGGCAATTGTAAGCAGCTACCAGGGTACTTATCTCCTTCTCCATGTTCAACAAGAAGAGGCCCTTTCCTAGTAGCGCTTTCAGAAACTGATGAAAACTTTCAGACTCTCCCAACACAAGCTTCCTTGCATCAATTTGGTCTATATTATCTTGTGCCCTGAACTCTGGCCTAAAGGATGGGAAGTGTTTATGGGATAGTGATAAGAAGAAAATGATTGATAAGGATAAGTGGAAATGCAAACAAAAGTTGGAGTATTGATAGAAGCAGAAAAGATAGTCACCAGGCACCCAAAATAACTTCAGTGTCATCATACCTTGTATATTAAAAATTATAAATATATGGCTGGGCACGGTGGCTCATGCTTGTAATCCTAGCAATTTGGGAGGCTGAGGTTGGTGAATGACTTGAGGTCAGGAGTTCGAGAGCAGCCTAGCCAACATGGTGAAACCCTTTCTCTACTAAAAATCCAAAAATTAGCCAGGTATGGTTGTGCATCCCTGCAATCCCAGCTACTTGGGAGGCTGAGGCAGGAGAATCACTTGAACCCGGGAGGTGGACTTTGCAGTGAGCCGTGACGGTAGCACTGCACTCCAGCCTGGGCCACAGAGTGACTCCATCAAAAACAAAAACAAAAACAAAAAAATTATAAAAATGAATGATAAATGAGTAAATGGTTAAAAAAAGCAAGCTCACTCTTTATAAGCAAAGTGGATCCAAAAAAGTCATTGATATGATAAGCATGGTAATTAGACTAAGAGGTCTGAGATATAAAATTAACAAACCTTGGAGGTGAGGGATTAACACATTCAAAGAACAGCTACAACAAATATACATACGCACACACAGGTACACACACTCACACAGATATATGTTTATGACATGTATTGTGTATATATAACATATGTATATATATATTAGGTTGATGCAAAAGTAACTGCAGTTTTTGTCATTACTTTTAATAATAATCTAATAAATGTATATTTGTATATATGTATGTATTTTAAGGTATATATAAATCTCTTTGAATAAAAGCAGAAAAAATAGTTTATTAGCTTCAAATTTTCCTTTTTTTATCAAAAAAGTTCTGAAATAACAAATGTTCTTATAGTGCCAGTTATTCATCAAAAGAGAAAAAATATATATATATAAAATGTTAATGGTTCTTATTTATGTACATACTATTGTTATATATGTAAATTTTCATAAACTACATCAACTCAGCCAATAAGCATTTTCTATATTCTTAGTGCTGTTTAGCCTATAAAATGAAAATATTTAAATTACTAGGAAAAATAAAAATTATTGTTTTTAGCCATATAAGAAATGAAAATTTTCATATTTTATTAATTATGCTACTTTGTGTGCAAGTTTTATTAGAACTTGGTATGAATAGTTGTCATGTTATAACTTATTTGGCTAGCAAAGGCATATAAACTTACTTTTTCTTAAGATTATACTTTATATTAGCAAACAAAATTAACTAGAATATTTTAAGAAGGAAACAAATATTTTTTTAAGTTTGTCTCTAGAATTGTAGTTTTGACTCAGTCCAATTGTTGAGGTTTTAAGTGATTATGATTTTCATCATTTTAGTTTCTACATTCTCCTAAAGGTGTTCAAGCAATTGATATGATGCTCCATAAAAACTCTGTCCTCTCCCAACATGACCAACCTCCTTTCAGTCCTATTTCATATTTATTAACCATGTGTATCTGAATTAAAAATACTTCGTAGCTGGACATAGTGGTGCATGCCTCTAATTCCAGCTGTTCAGGAGGCTGAGGCACGAGAATTGCTTGAACCTGGGAGGAGGACGTTGCAGTGAGCCCAGGTAGTGCCACTACACTCCAGACTGGGCGACAAGAGCAAGACTCCATCTCAAAAAAACAAAAAATAATTTAAATTTAAATTTGGGCAGCAAGCACTAGAGAGGTGTAAAGAAATGACTGGCCATTCTTTAGCTTCTTCCTGTACTGTATGTTAGGTGATGATGTGGTGTAGTGTTTACATTTGCACCTGCTTGTCCACGACTTCTCTCACTTCTTGAAGGGTTATACTAGACTTCAGTAAAGTACAGAAAATTAAAATTGATTGAGGCAAAAAAGAATTCTTTGACAGTGAAGATGAGATCTTTTCTTGGAGATTAGTAAATATCTGCATATATATTTTTTTCAATTTTTTTTTAGGGGTTTGCAGTACAATCATGATAATCTTTGTCTTTGTCAATTTACATTCTTGTGGAGGAAGTTACACAATAAAATATTAAATTTAGAAATTAATTAATAGGCTGGGACTGTTGGCTCATGCCTGTAATCCCAGCATTTTGAGAGGCTGAAGCGGGAAGTTCGTTTGAAGCTAGGAGTTTGACACCAGCGTGGGAAACATAATGAGACCCTGTCCTACAAAACAACTTTTAAAAAAATTCACCAGATGAGTTGGCATGTACCTGTAGTCCCAGCTACTCAGGAGACTGAGACAGGATGATTGCTTGAGAACCGAAGTTGAAGGCTTCAGTGAGCTATCATCATCACACCACTGCACTCCAGCCTTGGTGACAAAGCCAGACCCTTTCTCTAAAAAATAAAAATAAAAACGTTTAATTTAAAAATGAATTAATAATATGTTACGTTAGAAGCTGGTAAGTGCTATAAAAAATTGTACAGCAGGATAAGGTAATTCTAAAGTATCAGATTTGGAGGAGATAAGGTTGTTGTTCTAAATAGGGTACAGAGGAGGCCACTTTGAGAATATAGCTGTCCTTTGAGCAAATCCTGGAAGGAATTCAGGAATTTAGCAATGCAAACATCTTTTGAAAGACAGCTATAGAAGGAAGAAACAGCCAGGACAAAGGCCCAAAGCTGAGCATTGGCCTGGTGTATTGAAAGAACACAAAGGCCTGTGATCCTGGAATGAAATAATGAGTGGAAGAATATAAGTGGGTGAATTAAGAGATTAAAATAGTAGCAGATCATGCGGGTTCCAGATTGTAGGTAGTAGATTATTGTGGACTTTGGATTTTATTCTGGGTAAAAGTGGCAGAAATTTCAATATTTTAGGTAGAGAAGTGACAAGATTTGAATAAGCTGCCTTGTTAAGAATAGATTGGAAGTTGAAATGGGTTAGGGGTGAGGGAGAATCAGAATCAGACAAAACCATTAGGAGATATTGCAGTGATCCAGAAGAGAAAATCTGTTGTTCGAAACAGAGAATTAGCAGTGGAAGTAATTAAATGTGGTCGCATTCTGGATATATTTTCTAATTAGAGTCAACTGATTCCAACAGAAAATTTCTAATATTTGCATGTGGTATATGTTAGAAAGAACAGTATCAGCTCATCAAGAATAGTACCAAGGTTTTGAATCTGAGTAACTGATAAATTAGATGCACAATAACTCAGTTGGGGGAGTAGGAAAGGATGCGGTATAAGCAGTTCTTGTTTTGCTAGTGAGAGTGGATTCAATCTTTTTTTAGATATGTGTTGTTTGAGATGTCTTGTTGGACTTTTAGTTGACAAACACTTTTCATTCATAGGTGAAAGACCATTGATTCCGGTTAATAGTATTAGCAGTTATTTAGCACAGATCATGCCCATCACTGGTTTAAGCTCATTACTTTTCAAAGAACACATTTCCATACTGCTTAAGATTTATTTTAATAAGGATATTCAGTTTGATAATGTCTTATCCAAATCCCCTGAAGCAGAGGATTGTCGATTTCAGAAATTATCAGAGTAGTACAACGTACATGCAATTTCAGTGTAGGATCAAGGGCAGCATTTTAAAATTGAGCATATCATCGGCAGTGAAACATACAAATAATCACAGTAGGAGGGACAAATAAAAACTGTACCTCCTTTCAGTTTGGGTCTTGTCCTCGAAATGGGTTCAAGTCAAATCGGATTTTACTTTCAGATGAATTATTTTAAACACACACACAAAGATTTTCAGCACTTTGGTTGTTAGAATTTCAGATGAAACCCTATAGAACCTACATTAACTCTGTAATTTTGGAATCATAAAAATAAAACATAAAATTGATGCTGATAACCATCCTTTCATTATGGGTTAATTCTTTCTTTGGATTACAGTTCACAAGAGATAATTTCCTTATGCCCTGTATAAGCTTTTTGGAATTTTTAGATCATTTCTAGTATTTTATGACATACGTTCTTTGAATAAATATTTATAAATATTATTTCTATAGCTTTTACCAGGAAAAGAAAGTCTTATGTGGTCCAATGGCAGATACTAGTACATCAGTCCCTGCAGTAGACTTTATTATTGGCTAAGACAAATAATGGCTCATTATCTTTAGGAACAGATGAATGTGGAATAATGCTTATGCTACTTGAAATAAGGACTACCAAATTATTTATCTAAGTGTCTATTCCCATAATAGTATTAAAAATTAATTTTAGAATAGTTTAATTAGTAATCTTAAGTAATGGACCAAATAAATATGCCTTCTTACTTCAAAGAACACAAATGATTGACATAAAATATTAAGCTCTTGCAGAATATTTTTTGTTAAACTTCAAGCATTATATACCAATGTTTAACCATCAGCTACACTTATCAGTAAAATAAAAAATGAACTATTTTTAATTATAGTGGATTATCATAGTGTAGTATCAGGCAGAATACTTTTACTGTCCTAAAAATCTTCTGTATCCTATGCAGGTTTAAGAAAGAAGAAAATTGTGTTCTCTGCAGCATGGATAGAGCTGGAGGCGATTATTGTAAGCAGATTAACTCAGGGACAGAAAACCAAATACCACATGGTCTCACCTGTAAGAGGTAGCTAAATACTGAGTACTAAGGGAATAGAGATAGCTACAAATAGACACTGGGGATGACCAGAGGTGGGAGGATGGAAGGGGGAATGTATTGCCAACCAAACTATTGGGTAATATTATGCTTACTATCTGGGTGATAGGATTAATTGTACCACCAACCTCAGTATCTTGCAATACACTCGTGTAATGAACCCACACATAATCTCCCTGAATCCTTTAAAATAAAAGTTAAAATTATTTTAAAAAATCTTTTTTATCCACTCTTTTTTAAAAATACATTGTTTACTGGGTTTTAAATGTTGTATGGCATAATTTATATTCTTTTAAGACTCCAAAGTTTTGTTTCACATAAATGACCTCCTTTAGGCATATATATTTTTTGGGCTTTTAGATACTAAGGCATTATCCATCTATAAAGTACAAATTTTAAAAATACCAGAAGCTGGCTAATGATTTAAAAAAGAAAATATAGGAAATTACTAAGAGAGAATGATAAATATTATTTTATTAATTAATTCCTTTTGTTATTTTCTAAAAATATATTTATTATACAGTTTGTGCCAAGCACTCTTATGAGTACTGAAAAATGTGAATAATGCAGGTGAAATCCCTGTGCTTGGGGAGAAAAGACAATAGAATAAATAAACAAATAGTTAAATAAATCTGTTGATGAATTATGACAAAGGTTACAACAACAACAAAAGTAGTATGCCGGGGGGAAAGTCAGAGAGGGATTTTATGGATTGAACGGTTAAAAAAGGTTCCTGAGCCGATGCCATATTAGAACAGAGCTGAATCAAGTGAGGAATTAAGTCATGCATTTGTCTTAAGGAATAGCATTCCAGATTGATGGCTGGAAAATCGCCAAGTCTCTAGGGAACTCTCTGGCTGGCATGTTTAAAAAGTATTGAATAAAGACAGTGCTACATGAGTGAAGTAGGCAGAAAGAAATGGAGTCCAAAATAAGAAAGAGAGGCCAAATAAGGCTGTGCTTTTATACCACTATGACCTTAGACTTTTTTTCTCAGAATGTAATGAAAATTCATTCGAAGTTTAAGTAGGCATATGACAAGATTTAACTAACACTTTCTAAAATATCATTTGATTTTGTAGGGAATGGACAGAAATGAAAGCTGAAAGATGATTCCTTGGTAGGCTATTGCAGTCATCTTGGTGAGAGGAGATAGTATATTAGACAATAATGTTGTCTTGGAGGTTTAGTGAGAAGTGGCTTGCTTCGAAATGTAGTTTGAAGATAAAATGAACAGCACTTGTGGAGAGATTTAATAGGAGATGTGAAGGAAACTCATAAAGGATAACTTCAAGTTTATAAGTGAGTTCATGATATCACTATTATTGAGATGAGGTTATTCAGGAAAGATCGTTTTTTCCAGATAGTTATAAAGGGAAGAGATTGTTTACATTTTTCTTCCAATGTTGTAGAAGATGAACCGATGCAATTGACATTAGCTTTCGTGCAAACTCCTTCACAAGCTGATACCGTTCTGGAAAAAAATTGTCATAGAGAAATAATTTTGACCTTGACAAATGGTTGAATGGTGTGTGTGTGTGTTTGTTTGTTTGTGTGTGTGTGTGTGTGTGTGTGTGTGTGTGTATTGGAGAGAGAAAGAGAATGCCTAGTCCTGGACAACTTGCCTTAAATCTAAAAGTGATCCACAAGTGGCACATGGAAAAGTCAAGGGGCATATTTGCCAATTCTTGATGGGGAATTACTTAAAATGGGTACTCAGTTGAGAAGATTTGTGTCTGTCTTGAATTCTATGAGTATTGAGGTGCTAAAAACTCTGCAAGACTGCTTGGAGACCTGAGGCATATTTGTAGTAAATTAAATAACTCAGATTTGAGAAAGTGTACTGCTGGAGGCTGAGGGATGTGATCTTGGGGAGAGATCAATCCTTTTGAGTGTGAATGGAGATTCCCAATAGGTTAGGGGAGATTTTATAAGGTGGAGGTTTGAAAAAAATAGGTTAAGATAGAAGAATGAGCTGAGGAAAGGGGATTTAGGATAAAAGATATGACTGTGATTAAAATTTATTTTATTTTTTACTATTTTCTTTCAAAACTTAAGAATAAATATTGTACTGCACAGTTTTAACTATCCTCTTTTGACTTAATTATTTCTCCATTTCTACAGCCCTTCAGTAAGTTCTGACATATACAACACTGTGTGATTGTGCCGTGTTGTAAAAAAGGATGAGATAAGGGGCCGAGGGGAAGGAGACCTGCTCCACATTTACCTCCAGTGTGTCCTGGTTCTCTGAGTGCATGAAAGCATTGTTATGAGGATGACTGAGTCTGAAACCTACAGCGTATCCCATAGCAAACCTAACAGTGGCCCATGGCAGATGAGAGCTTAGAAAACACGACCGAAAATGGCACAAATCCAATGAGTGATTTATAGCAATTTAAGGGGAAGATACTGATACTGATATTGGAAAGAATCATCTCTGTGTTACAATGGGAAAAGTGGATGATAATTAATGAAGTAGTGGTTTCACATAAAAGGAAGTATTTCCTTTCATTGAATTTAATTACCCAGCCAGGTACGGTGGTTTCCACCTGTAATCTCAGCACTTAGGGAGGCCAAGGTTGGGGGATTGCATAAGTCCAGTAGTTTGAGACTGGCCGGGGCAACATGGTAAAAGCTGGTCTCTACGAAAAATACAAAAAAATTAGCTGGTTGTGGTCTCAGCTACTCCGGAGGCTGAAGCACTTGAGCCTGAAAGGCAGAAGTTGCAGTGAGCTGAGATCACACTGTTACACTCCAGCCTGGGTAAGAGAGTGAGACTCCATCTCAAATAAAATAAAATAATAAAATAAGAATTAAATTACCCATTTAATATTTGTTAGTAACTTCATTTCAGTAGGATGCGGCAAAGTGTCATATAAACATCTACATTTCTCTTCAGCCAGTTTTCCATTTAAAAAGTAGGCTTACTTCTAAAACATCTCATGCACCTCATAAATATATATACCTACTATGTACTCACAAAAATTAAAAAATAAAAAAATAAGTAAGTATAGTTCTTCTACGATAGTTTCTGTGGATCACTCAAAGCATAAAGTGGTAGGAAAAGTAACAGAGGAACCCGAATCCTTTGACCAGAGCCCCAGAGGAGTTTATTTTACCAGTGAGAAAGTATTGAACATGCTTGATCTTCAGGTACCAAGTGTGTTTTGTTTGGATAAGGATGGAGATAAACATAATGATAGATAAAAAATGTTGTAATGTTAAATAAAAATGTGACTTATTTAAACTTCCATTAATAAAAACTTACATTTTGTTATACTATAATTTATCTGTCTGCTAGAAGAAAGAAAAGCATTTGCAATTCTATTATAATTATTATCCAGGAATTTGAGTGAGTCCAGGCATCTATTTTACAATTTTCGTTTACTTTCAAGTATAAAAAGTTATAAGTCAATCAAACAATGTGTGGGAATTAACAATTTATAAGAAATGTCTCAAATTTTAAGGCTAAAATATTTCAAAACAGCAAATTATTATTAATAATACACTTAATATTATGAGATAAATATTATTACATTGTCAAATTTAACAAAGTATGATTAGCCAGAATTATTAGAAGCATTTTATCAAACGACAGTTTACACACAGCAAAACAACTACCTTTTAAGGGTAGAATATGTATACCTATGTAACTTAAGTAATTTTAGGATACAGAGTATTTCCATTATTTCTTTCCACTCAGTTCATATTCTATACCCTAGTTTCAGGCAACCAATTATCTGCTTTCTATCACTAAAAAACTTATTTCATTTCCCTAGAGATTCAGAAGTATACATTATATATAGAATGTATTCTTTCGTGCCTAGGTTCTTCTCCTCAGCATATTTTTGAGATTCCTCCATATTTTTTGTATGAGCATCAATAAAATTGAGTAGTTATATATATATATATATAAAATTATTTAGATGTATCACAATTTTTTAATTAATTCACTTCTTAATGGACATGGGTCACTTTCCATTTGGGCTTATTATAAATAAAACTGCTGTAAACATCCATCTATAAATTATTCTGTGGGGATGTATTTACATTTCTTTGGGGTAAGTTTCAAGATGTAGAAATGCTGGTTCATAAGGTAAGCATATATTTAACTTTGTAAGAATTACCGAACTAGTTTCTAAAGGAGCTGTACCATTTTGTATTCCAATTAATGATGAGAGTTCCAATAGCTTCAACTCTTTATGAACATTTCTATTGTCAGTCTTTTCATGCTTAGTTATTTTAGGGGGATGGTATATGTATTTGTTTTAAAGTTCAGCTGTAACTAATTAACACAGACTTAATTGCTTAAAACAGCACAAATTTATTATCTTATGATTCTATGAATTAGAAATCTGACCTTTTTTTAATCTTAGGCTAAGATAAAGATGTTGGCAGGGCTTTGTTCCTTTCTGAATTTGCATTTCTCTGATGTTCATTCATATTTTTATGTCTTTGTTGGTCACTCATATATCTTCCTTATTGAGGTGTGTGTATAAATCATTGACCCATTTTTCTGTTATGAAATTTGTCTTCTTATTTTGTCCTGTGAGAGTTCTTTATATATTCTGTATACTAGTCTTTCATCTGACATATGTATTGCAATTTTTTTTAATCTGTGGCTTTTTTGTTGTTGTTGATGAATACTTTCAAAGAGTAGATGTTCTTAATTTTGATGATATGTTTTAGTACTTCTATAAACCCATATAAATGTCAGAACCAGATTGTCAATTTTTTTTGGAAAAAAGCTTATACGACTTTTATTTGCGATTCACTAAATCTATAGTACAATATTTAAAAATAAATAAATAAACATACTAATAATATTGAGTCTCCTAGTCCAGGAACAGCACATATCTCTAAGTTATTTAGTTTTCTAAAAGTTTGTATTTAATATTTAGTATATATCTTGATTCCTTTGTTACGCTTATTGCTAAGTATTCAATCCTAAGTGTTGGTACTATTATAAGAGGCATTGCTCCTTTAATTTAATTTTCTAATAGTTTTTTGCTAGTATAAACAAACACAATTGACATTGGTATATGAATTCTTATACTCCAACATTTCTAAATTTGTTTATTAATTCAAGTAGAGTTTCTGAAAATTTATTAAAATGTTTATCCACAGGGTCACATTGTCTCCCTAGTTAGGTGTTACTTCTTTTTTCTTAAGTTTGTATGTCTTTTAGTTATTTTCATAACTTGTTGCACTAGCTAAAATCTCAGAAGTGGTG